TTACACATTATCTTGTACGTCCTCCAGGTTCAGTATAGTTTTGGGTATCATCACTTTTCAAATGGATTCCTAACCTGAACAAGCATCCATCTCTCCTGTAATAACTAACCCTCATTGTACTATCAGCTAATAAAAACTGACCCAGATTAAAGTTCTTTGAGAGGAGGGAACATACCAAAATCATGTCTGGGCATTCAAAAAGTCTCTTGACATATAATAATCACTTATTGTATAGCTTTATTGAGTGAACTAGTAAATATTTGAATGCTTCAGGAACCTAGTATATATGATGGATGGTATAAGAAATAGAAAGCTTGGGTATTGTACTCATCAGAAACAGTTGACTATGAAAACTATAAGATCTACTTAGAAACAAACAATAGATATTAAAGTTTTTCCTGTGTGGCCTTTTTAATTAGAACCTCTCTTTTAAAGCACAAAGGAGATCATTTTTGAGGGGTTGGGGGCTTGGGGTGGAAAGTTCCCTGTAAGCACTCTGTATATGTGCCCTAATTTTTTGGAGCTCCTTAACATTTCTTGGGCAAGCCATTATCTATCCTAACTTTTGTATGTCATTAAATACTTTCCTCTGAGGGAAAAGAAGTTTTTGTGAATCCAGACGGGTGCCTAATATTACCCTTTTGTTTAAAGAAACCTCCAGAAATACGCCAGTTCATAAAACTAGGTAAATATGCTTCTAAATCCCTAAAGATGAATTTGGTGTAAAATAAAAGTTGACAATAAGCCAGAATCTTCTGTTCCGTATCTAAATAGAGCTTAGATTCCTGTTTGACCTGGCTTGATTGCCCAGGTTTCAACCACAGTGTATTTATGGTCTCTTCTTTGAATGAACTCAATTTTCATAGCAGTTTTGGTCACAAGATTAAAGAATTGCTAACTAATTGTTCTGAATAAGCATAGTAATTCTCTCTGGCCCCTGCAGCGGTCTATTGCCCAGACTTCCATCATGGGAACTTCAAGTCTGACCCCTACAGGTGGATAAGTGCAATGCATACCTACAAGCAGATCCTAGTACTACTTTTAAAATCACACCAAGTTCTAAAAATAAAAACGCTCCTATTAAGCACAGCAGGGATGTTGATGATACCGAATGATATGCTGGACACCCTTAGCATTTTATAAGAGAGTTGCAACCACTTGACTTAAAAGAATTTAAATTACATCTGCAAAATACTCTGATGTGGTCAGCTATTAATTCATTTTGCTTATCTAGAAGGATGGACCCAAATGATATAGATCAATGAGGGTCTTCGAATTGTGTAGGTTAAAGATATCCTGATTGAGTCGCATCTTTTCCTAACCAAACAGATTATTCTTTGTCCAGTGACCAAATCCCTCCCTTTCACCAAAGCACAGCCCAGGTTGCCATAGCTACCTTGGATGTCTATTTACCACACAAGGGATCAAAGCCAGAAGACATCCATATACACACTTAGACTTAAAACTTGCTGGAATGTCTGTGGATAACATGCAACTGCCAATTAACGGATTTGCTTGCAGCCTATGCGGTCTACAACCAGGCAAATGTAGGAACAAGAGTCACAGGGGAACGGCAAGAAAAAGCCAACTCAAAAATGTACTTCAGAACAACAAGGACCTTGAAAGTAACAGCAAGTCCTACAATGATAATATTTCCTGAAAGAGATAGCAGGCAAGAAATTAACATTTTCACATGTGTTGAAGACCTTGAGCTCACTAAGCCATGTGCAAAAACTTAAAACATCTGTTGAAAGGGAACATTTTTTTTTCAGATGCATATTTAAAATTCCGGTTACACTATCTTCCTATTAGATGTCCTAAAAGCTGCGTGATCTCACTGTGGAAACAAATGAGAACAGGACTTTCACATGAAGGAAGCCATACCACACAGTGGGACAGCACATGCTGGGTACAAAATGGGAAGGAAAGGGATGCTAAAAGGAGCGGTTGCTTTCCTCCTTTGAGAACCTTTGAGAACCTCAACTTGCACAGGTAGTCTTTCTGGGTGGGTGAATACCATATTCATTCCCAGACTTGTCTGTAACTTTCCTGTCTCTTTAGACTTAACTTTCCTTTGCCTTCGCCTTACCATTTGTTCAATGGGGATGAAATTGCCCCTCATTCTCTCCGCTGGATGTGGCAGAGAATAAATAGATTATGTTTGCAAAGGACTTTCTAATCCTTGGAGAAAAGATTACTATGAAGACTTTCATTATTAAACCAGATGTCCTTGGGCATGTTAATTCCAATCAAAAGAATGCAAAACGGGCCAATCAAGCTGAGTCACCGCATCCTCTAGCCGCTGCCCTCTAGCCTTGCAAGAATGTCCCCGCTCTGTGGCTAAAAGTGAACTAGAGCCCCCATGTCTTCCCTATGACTATTTTTGAAAGTTGTCAGAATGTTAAAAACACAAAATATGTCTGGTAGGCCATTTTGTCTGGAGAATACCTTTTTCTAGCTTAAGAATGAAGTATTTGTTTTTTGCCCACAGAAGGACAATGAGTAGCTTGCTCTTGGGGGAGGATATTTGCAGTTGTGGGAATGGCACAGGCAAACCTGTTGTTTTTGGCTGGGCTTGTAGAACAGGTGGCCATGCCTTTCCTTTTGCCTAGGAACACATCACATTCCTTGAGGAAGGTTCGGGAAAGTTTCTCATTTATAATCAGGGTGCAGAGAAAGGTTGGCATACATTTTAACAAATTACTTCCTGATAAAGGCAAGTCAAGTTTACATTTTCTTTTTTACCCTAATGCCGCCGTGTGGCCTTACCCTCAAAGAATTCTGTCTTCCCTCATTCCTTTGCTGCCGACCTAGAATGCCTGACCCTCTCAAAAACTTACAGCCAGCCAAGCAGCCTTCTGATTCTGTTGGCAATTTCTGGCCCCGCAGTTTCTGGCTAGTGGGTGGCAGGAGTCTGTGCGGGTTGCGTTGGTACAGCCCTAGGGATGGATCACTCACCAGGGAAAAGATTGAATTTCGTTGCTGAGTTGATGACACATGGGTCGGGTTTGATAGTTAACCCTGCAGAGCCACTGGGAGCTGTGGGGCTGAGGTGACACATTGGCTGATGGGTGCTACTCGCCCTGCCTGGATGTAGCAGTCAGGTTTCCTCAACGGGAAACTAGAACAAAGCTGGGGGGGGGGGGGTTCACCCATGCAATAATAGAACCATCTCTTCTCCCCTCCATCATCTTGGACTGTCTGGGCTGCTTTGATGAACAATGGACCTTTCTCCTTCTCTTCTGTCCCATCCTCCCCTCTGCCCTCTTCTCAAGTAAGTACCCAGCAGGCCCCAAAGAAAGTTTGCTATGTCCCTATACATGTGGAACTCAGAAGTTGTTCACTTCTGAAATCAGGAGCTCCTACATGTGGACTTTGTGCCCTTAAAACTTCAATCCTGGCTGGTTTCCAACTTCACATGAAGCTATGCATGGGAAAGAGCATTGCACAGTCAGGAAGGCATTCCGAGGGCATCACACATAGGGAGAGCCACTGTCCCAGAGGAACTGTGTGGGAAGGAGGATTCTGGAAATTGAGCCACTGAGAGAGGACAGGTGGCTCCACAAGTATCGGATGACTTCTTTGTTCCGGCTTCAGAGTTTTATCAAAAATCCAAAAATATTACTGCCTCTCTCTCTCTCTCTCTCTCTCTCTCTCGTCCATTCTACTGACCTTCTTGCTCCTCTTTCTCACCCCATCTGATTGCAGGACATTGAAAGAAGGTGGCTGGACTGTAGGAGTGTGAAATATAAAAGCAGCTTCCACCCCACACAGCGTCTTGGAAGATGAAGGCAATTTACTGAGAGCTCAGGGCACGACATAGGCTTTTTGGCACTCCTGAAACTTGCTTAGGAGTGTTTGAAGGAACCAGAGGGCTGAGGGTCTTTGCGCCTGACCAGTCAGGTGGGGGCTCTGCTTCACCTCCTAAAGCCACTGGAAAGCAACAGAAAAGTCCGAAACCCTTAGCCTCGGCTGTTCAACGAAGGGCTCACTTCCCCCAAGTGAGCACACCCATGGAGCATACCTTGCCCACTTAGAAGAAAAAAGCAAGAGCCTTTTCTGTGGTAAAGCAGATGCTAACTTTCCATCCCTAGTCCCCACAGCACGCTCTTCCCCAACAACTGGCCCTTTCTCCCAGTCCACTCTTCCTTGGCCCAGTACTGATACTGATATTTAAATATTGACATCATGTTCTTCCATAACTTTGATTGAGTTGTAAATTACACCCTTTCTTGGTTTCCTAATCCACCTTTTCCTGTTCTTTTCTCCCTTAATGGCAAAGCTATAAACCCCTGCTGAGCTGATAAGGAATTTTATTATCATGCCCTAGAGCCACGGAAGAAGCTGCTGGCTTAGAATTCTTTTTCAAAGACTCATTTCAGTAATCCCCAAACCCTTCTTCCGCTCATTACTTCAAGGCTGTCTTCTTACATCCAGAAGCAATAGCTTCCAAACTGTTAAGACAAAACAAAACAAAAATAAAATCTGCCTTTTGGGGGGAATGGCTGTTCTACTGGACTTGGTCCGGTAACTCCTCCTCTGATACTAAGTCCTTAGAAAGGAAAGCCCAACTGAGAGAGGCCATCCTCTTGCCCCATTCTTTTTTTAAGATACGCGTAGCGTTTGTCTTTATTCCACCCTAAAGCATAGAGGCTAAAGAACAGGAGATACATTCCACACAATACATTCCGGAGGCTGAAAACTGAGATGGATTTACATATTCTTCAAACCGCTTTCCAGCCCTAGAGCGACTGCTTGCCATCACCACCCACCATGAAGAAGCAAAAAGAGAGGGTGGGGTGGTGAGGACTAATAGCGTTGGGGAGCTAAGGGAATTTGGTCCCTGTGTCGCCTTAGGAAAACGCTGCCCCTCTCTCTGCTCAGGGGATCCAGGCAGGTACCTGCGTGTGCGCACACTCCCAGACTCCAGGAGTAACAACAGGTCTCGGGGATCCCACGCTGAACCCACCCTCGGGGCTCCGCACAGCCGCCAGGCTTACCTGACTCATGTTTAGAATTCCATGACCCATTCGGCAGGGAGTGAGCTGCATCAATGCGCCCGCCGGAGTCTTCCGAGGGGAGAGACACCAAAGCCAACAGAAGCCCGCGAGACAAAAGCAAGCGGCGGAATCCACAGGCAGCCAAGAGCACGTTTTCTCGTCCTCTTTTTCTTTGATCTGTTGCTACACGCACTCTGCCCCGAGACAATGTCAAGTTTCTCAACCTTTCCTTTCCCAGCCTATGAAAAGTCGGGTGCAGGGAAGCCAGGACAGCCTGGGCTCTTATTTCAAATCAGTTCTCAGGGACGTCGTAGGCGGCGGGCTCCAGCCATGGAGGAATCTGGCCAATCAGGAGCAGGGGGTGGTCCTGGGAGCCAGAGACCCTGCCTCCTCCCGGATTAGGACAGCTATCTGGAGTCAAATGACTGGAAGCAGCTGGAAACAGTGCCCTGAGCTCCCAAAGTAAAAGGATGAGTTCTATTCTTATCTTGCAGCACTGTCTGCTCTGAGCTCAAGGAGCCTAGCTTGGGGCCTACATCCTTGCATTTTGAAGAGCTTCGTAAAAGCATCCAAGTGCTTGGAAGGTGTTTGAATTCTTTCAGCCAGGAAAGTTCAACGCTTAAGACATAAGGAAAATTTTTTTTAAGAGTATCTTCCATTAGATACCAACTTTCACAGCTGGGGAAGAAGTCAAATTCTTTAACAGAAACAAGCACTCAAGAAGGCTGTTACACAATTCATCTTCTCATAAACTGTATATCCAGTTTAGAAAACAAAGCAAATTTTAATGGGCTATGTACACACAAATATTTTGAAGTGAAGCAAGTGAACAAGAATCTCATCACTGAGGACCCAAGATAGAAATTCTGATTTAAGAAAAAATTCTCCTAAGAACAACAAACACTGATTTTTGTGAAGGAAAAAAAAAAAGTTAAACATAAGGGCATCCACTCTTCAGTATGAGTTGCCTTACCTACGAGTGATTTGCTTAGCTTAATCACTAACTTGGGCAAGCTAGACATCATCTGAGCAGGATGACAGGTCAACTAGCTGGCTTCTTGGAAACCTCAACCCAGACTCAAGAAGAATTTCCAAAGTCTTCTTTCTTAACTCTACAGAAAGACTAACTCTTTTCAACTCTTAGATGATATGATTTTGATATAAATCTACCTCTTGGATTTCCAGAAAGTACAAGCTAAGCAAAGATAGCTTCACGTAAAACCAATAATATATATATACATCTATCTATCTATCTATCTATCTATCTATCTATCTATCTATCTATCTATCTATCTATCTATCTATCTTCCTAAAGAAATGACAACAATTTTGGAAGGATAATCTAATGAATACTTTTAATTTTTGTAGTATTAGAAGAAAAGAAACAATTTAGCAAGCTGCTGGTCAGTAGCTTCTGAGTATTGTCTCCATGAACCAGTATTGCATGAGCAATACTGATACTAGTTCAATGAAAATCTGGCCACCCTAACCATATCCACATTTGAAGGTCCGCGATCCCATTCCAGTTCCTCATCTGAGCAGTCTCTGGGCCGCCATAGTGAAATAAGTTGGCCTAAGTCCAATTCTTGGACTTTCTTCAGAAGACATAGCCTACATCAGATTTTCTGAACCATGGCACTACTGGCATTTGGGGACAGATGTTTCCCTATGGTGGGGCTGCTCCCTGCAGTGGACTCTGCCAAAGAGATGCCCATGAGCATGTCCCTGTTTGTGATGATTACTTATGTCTCCAGACAGTCTAAATGTAGCAAAACCATGCTTTGAGAGATTCTCAAACATGAATAGGCAGTGATATTTCTGGAAAGATGGTTTAAAATGTGAATCCTCACTCCCTTTCTTGAAGGATTTCTGACTACGTAGGTTTGTCAGAGAACCTGGGAGTCTCTAGGGCCTTCGTGGCCTCTTGTCCAAAGACTGATTCACTGAAAGAGCACACCTCTCCCTGCCATAGACGTGCCTCAGCCCCAAACCCAGGAAGCAACCCACGACCATTGTCAATTAAGTGCTGCTGGAGCGAAAACCACTGCATAGCTGTTTAGTGAACAGGAGCTTCTCACAATGGACAGCTGTCAAAGGTAAGTAGGAGCTAGGATTTCCTCTTTCAAGGCTGTGCTCATTTGAAATTTCTGCCATTTTTCTTCTTGACTGACTCATGCTCTCACCATCCTATAATCTCAAATGTCAACATTCTTTGTCCACCTCCCCCCCAAAGAACCTCTTTCCTCCATATACATACATATATTTTTTTCTTCTAAATTAGTTTATGCAAATCCAGTGCTGGGCAGGTGAATGTTTAACAACCAGCCCTCAAAAAACTACAAATAAAGGCGGGTACTAGTGGCTCACACCTGTAATCCTACTCAGGAGTCTGACATCAGAGGATTGAAGTTCAAAGCCAGCCCAGGTAGCAAAGTTGATGAGACTCTTATCACCAATTCATCACAAAAAAAAGCCAGAGGTGGTACTGTGGCTCAAGTGGTAGAGTGCTAGCCCTGAGCCAAAGGAGGACAGGGTTCTGTCCGTGAGGCTGAGTAAAAGCCTCAAAATAAATACATAAAAATAAAAATAAACACCAATAAACAAGTTGATGAATACCAAAATTTGTATGTTCTTTGAGGATTTCTATGATATAAATATTCTCTCCTCTCCTGCAGTAAAGGAAGAGGTACATTTGGACTTAGAAAGGCTGCCTGCCTCAGTCAGGAGCCGAAAGCACCCGGTCAGCTCCCCATGGCAGTTTTGCTTTCTCTGCTGCTTCATTTCCATGCCTTATTGAAAACTCATATTCCTCCTCCTAAACTAGAAAGGTCTCCAGGACAAGAATAGTCTCTCATTCACCTTTGTCATCCCAGCTACCTTCACCACATCTGCCATGTACTGATATTTGTGGAATGAAAACAAAATGTAATGTACAGCCTCCCCCAAGACATACAGAGCAATCCAACCTCTGCCACTGCCTCACGAAAGCAGGGAACATCATCTTCTAGAAGACAAATGCCGGGAAGTTCTCTTTTTCTCCAAATTTAGTATCTGTGCTATACTTCTGCCAATAGGCATAATGCTTTCTCCTATATCAACACTCCCACATAAAAGCTACATCCAGGTCAGAGTGAACCACAAGAGATCAGCCACTAAGACAGCCTCAACTTCATGGACGGCTTTGTGAGACAGCGTATTTTTATTTGAGATTATCCCATACCCTTACATCTATATACTTAGACACTTTCCCAGCTATAAAGCTGGGTCTCCAGGAGGAGTACATATGATACTGCTAGGTACATACAAAAGTGTTGTTGTAGGAAGTTTAGTGTTGGTTGGCACTTGGCTGCTTAAGGGAGCTGCCTGTTCTCAACCTTTTATGAGGGTGCACTTGCACCTTGCTTCAATAAAGCTTGATCTGTTAAAACTAAAAAAGAAAATTGCTGGGCACCAAGGCCTCACTTCTGTAACCCTAGCTACAGGAGGGTTACAGAAGGCTAACATTCAGGAGGCTAACATCTGAGGATCATGGTTAGAAGCCAGGCTGAGCAGGAATTTCATGAGACTCTTATCTCCAATGAGGCATTTAAAAAAAAGCTGGAAGAGGAGCTGGGGCTCAAGTGGTACAGCACTAGCTGTGAGCCCCAAAATACTGGGACAGCACCCAGTTCCTGAGTTCAAGCCCCAGGACCTGCACAAAAAATACAGTGATGGTTGATGCTTACTGCCACCATTTCTTATTATGCATCATGTATTATGCATCAGGACAAGGGTGGTTATGATGGTATTATTAAAAAACAATCATTATGTGTTGCCTTCTAGGAGCCAAAGACAAAGTAAATAGTTATTGAAAGTCTTATCATTATAAATGGCTGTGCTAGGAATTAAACCTAAATGTATCAGATTAGAATTTCTCTGCTTTGTGAATCCTGTGGTCTGAATTCCTATGATGAAATTCAAACCAGCAAGGTGATGATAGTTAAAGGGAAGTCTTTAGGAGGTGATGAGGTTATGTGGACAGAGCCCTAAGCAATGGGATCAGCACCCTTATAAAAGAAGCCTGAAAAGTGGGGTGCTGGTGGCTCACGCCTGTAGTCCTAGCTACTCAGGAGGCTGAGATCTAAGGATGGTGGTTCAAAGACAGCTTGGGCAGGAAAGTTCATGAGACTCTTGTCTCCAATGTACCACCAAAATGCTGGAAGTAGAGCTGTGGCTCAAGTGGTATAGTGCTGGTGTTAAGCACAAAAGCTCAGGGACAATGCCCAGTCCCTGAGTCCAAGCCTCAGAACTGATACACACACAAAGAGTCCTGTAGGAATCTGGTTTCCCTTGCTATCATGCTAAGGACATGGCAACAGGTAGCATGTGCATGAAATAGAGAAGTGAGAGCCATATACTGGCTGTAGAAAGCCAGACACTGAGCCTCTTACTTCCCAGTCTATTTATTGTATTCTGTTATAGTAGCCTGGACTAGGACAATGCTATAAAATAACCTGTCTCCAGAAATGATTAAACAACAATGAGAAAAAAAACTATAAAAATCAATGTTCTGTTTAAAACTTTCAAATTAAGTAAGTGGCCTTTTATGTCCTGGAGCTTGAACTCGGTGCCTGGGTGCTGTCCCTGAGCTTCTTTTGCTCAAGGCTAGCACTCTACCATTTGAGCCACAGCTCCACTTCTGGCCTTTTTGATGAATGATTAGAGATACAAGTCTCACAGACTTTTCTGCCCAGGCTGGCTTTGATGCACACTCCTCAGATCTCAGCCTCCTGAGTAGCTAGGATTACAGTGTGAGTGAGCCACCACCAGCTCCTGGTGGTAAGTGGGCTTTTTGAGTTGTCCTTGACTGAAGATTTGTTCTACCTAATGGAAACAGCGTAAGCAAATAACGTGAAGCAAGTAGAGAAACTTGATTCACCAAAGAAAGGGGTGCTCTGTTCCCACTCTGATTAACAACGTTTACAAATGTTAGCTGAAGTCTTGGTAGCTCTTCCTTTAAAAAGCAGCCTACATGGTAATCCTTTGTAGCTTTGTGTGCATTTGATTATAAACAGACCTCTGCAGCAAACCTAACATTGTTTCCTAGGTAAGTAATCCCACAGACAAGCGCTCCTAAAACATTGATGGGCATTGGTGTGCACCTGTGGAGGACAACGAACCGAACCGTGAAGCTACCGCCTCTCTCGGTGATTTATTAGGTGGGAGACTATGGAATGAGAGTTTAAGTAAAAAAAATATTTGAATATCAGTAACTTCATGTAACATATTGTAATGTATGTCAGGAAA